GCTGTTGTTCAGCATCTTAGCTGTGGAGGGCAGTGTCACTGGCCCTCATATGTGGGATCCGAACCGGGGCCCTCTGGCATCCCAAGCCGGCTCTTAACCATCACGCCACTTGGCCGGCCCAGCAAACTCTTTTTAAAGCCAGATAAATTAATAGATATTGGGAGTTGAGATTGCTTCTAGCAATAACCATTCAGTACTTCATCTGATCCTTAAGTCTTTATTAAATAATCAGGCAGTCTCGTTCAAGTATTTATAAAGTAATTAATGAACATGAATGATACATCTAATAATAATGAATTAAGTCTGGGAAATTCCATACTGCATTTTTCATAGGAGTTGTCTTAAGTTAATGTGACTTGGTCTTATGGCAGTTTGTCCTTGTCAACTGTACATAAATAGCTTTATTCTGTGACAGATAGCAATAAAAACGGATCCTGGAACATAAATTTCTTTCTTACTTTTAAATACATACCTTCTCTCATCATCCTTGAAGAAGAACCAAGCATATTTTCTGTGGACTGTAGATGTTATAAATAGGCTACTTGTGTAGCAAAATCAATTTAGTTGCAATTAATGTATTAATTATTAAAATAAGTGATAAGATTGAGGTTGCTTTATATTTTTTAACTTGTTGGGGTGTTTGGTGAGCAGAATTTGTTTGTGTTTATGGTTAGGTTTTATTATTTCAATGTTAAGTTGTGCCTCAGTCAGAAAATATTGAGAACACCAATTTGTTTTCATAAAATCTGTTGCTTGAGATTTATTCTAATTTTTAAAGCTCCGTGTAAAAACTGGATCTGCTTTAAGGAAAGCCTTTTGAATCAAAGTAGGTACTCACTTTTTCTAGGAATTTACAGTAACAATTTGTGTTCTTCCAAGAGGTATTGGAAGAATTAGCTACTAATCATCTCTGTGCAAAGACACTAGAAAACGTTTTCCAAACCTTTTTCTGTTTTTCCTCATGAGAGAGGATCTTCTGACCCTGGTGAGGAGAATATCTTTAGTTTTTGGTCAGAATTTATAAAAAGGGGTTTTTGGATGGAAAAAGCATAAAAGCTATAACTCTGAATCCAAAGCTCAAACGGAACTTTGTAAATTCAACTTAATGTAAAGAACAGTCAGAGCCGTTGAAAGATGGAAAAGGATGCCTTACTAGGAAGCCAGTTTTCTGGAACTGGAGAGAGAGGCGCTCATATTTAAGCTAAATGACCACTTAGGGTGGGATTGAGGGGTTTGGGCAGAGGTTGAAGTAAAGCTGTGAGCATCTTTTAGAGGGGTGGTCCTGGGTAGTTCTTAATGTGTTTTTTTGAAGTCCTAAACTTCTATGATGCAATAAAATATAAAGGACATTATTATTGATTTTTTTTGCCATTATCCATTTGTGATTATCTAATTCAGAAGGGCCTCTCAAGTTAAAAACTTAACATTTAAATCATTTTTTAGTTCCAGAAATATTTAACTTCTGTTTTGTATTCAGCCCCCGTTCCAACAGTGTGTGGCTCTGAGCCAGCCAAAGATTCATTTGTGATCTATTGACTGCACACATGTTTGGGAACTGATTGTGCCAACACATCCTTCGTTGGGGCACTGCAAAATTTAAAAACGGACAGTGCACAGACAATTTAAAAAGTGCTTCCTGAATTGTTTCGCCTTTGTAATGTTTGTGGGAAGAGATCGGAGGACAACCAAACATTGTTAGCAAAATTCTAAATCTCACAGACCTTTACACTCTGACTAAACGTATTCATCATAAGCAAGTATACAAAGATATCACACTGGCAATCGTGCGTCTTCCTCCTTAGACTGACAGTTTGCAGGGGAGGTTTTGCTAAGATGAGGCCTGTCCAGGATCCATACAATAAAAGGTTAGATTCTTATTTTTAAGTTTTTTTGATAATTATTTTCATTTCTAGAAGATGTTTTATTTGCCCCATTTAAAAAGATTAAAATCTCACTGTCTTCATTGTCACAGGTACCTTGTTAGAATCTGAATAAAAATAAACTTCTCTAGATTACCTTGGTTTCTTTGTTCTCTGTACGTCTAAGAGAAGAGTGTACAGGCGATGCGCATGTGGTGATAAGTGAAAATGTAATGGGAGCTGAGTTGAGGACCTTACTTGGTTTAGGACTCAGGATTTTATCTAGTCATTTCCAACTGTGATCCAACACTCTTCACTTTAATTCCCTCCAGAAACTCCAAGATTGTATTGCTTCCTGGTACTTAGAGTTCATGTTGATGTATAGAGCTTCTTGTAGGCCTCCAGCACCAGAAATTGGCTCCAAACCGTTTCCCATTACATCATCCCCCACTAATGTCATTACACCAGAGTGAAATCTGCTTTGAAGATTGTACTCTTGTTTTCTTTCCATTTCTTTCCTTTCATCATTTCCTTTAGAAGGAAACAGAAAAAAAACCCAGAGACCTCTAGGACAATCCCAGGCTAACATTTCAGAGTGAAGCAAACATCCTCCCAGTCTAAACCTGCGTTTATCAGCCTTCATTCCACTATGCTGTGGGTGAGTGGTCTGTCCAGCATGCATCCACATGGAGCCTGGAAGGTAACACATTAGGTCAGGCGACACCTGTCTCTGGTGCTTTTCTTTCAGCCCTTCCAAATTAGTTCTTAATGACTTCCATAGCTGTCCCGCCAGCATCCTGTCACTGGCATGTTAAACTTTTTCAGATAATTTCCCAGAATAGAAATTCTTAGGACATCACTAAGTTTCTAATTCTTTGTGGTTAATTAAACTGTTTCTTCATTTAAGTATTTGCTAGATAAGCATTTAAACCATCTGGAGTTTTTTACTTCCTTCCTGTAAATCTTTTAGGACATCACAGTATTACCTACAGTGGGGATCCTTACTGATCTTCCCTCTCCATCACAAAGCAGTTGGTTGAGGGCAGCCTCTGACCCTCTTCTCTCTTCAATTTAATTCCCCGTTGTTTGTCAACCATCCTCAAAGCTTCCAGTTGATGATGTGCTTTGTTTGGTCTTGTGCCTAACAGTGAGGTTTGGGTAAGGAGAAAACTGGGAAGTGTTTCAGTTCAGAGACTTCGTGCCACCCACTCAATTATTGGCTTACGCAGTAGTGCTTTTGTGTCCTTTGAGGCAGATTAGCTTGAGATTAGAAGGAATAAATCATCCGTAGTCCCGAAGAAATGGGGCCACAGTGTCTAAAACAAAAGAATAAACTTGACTCTTATAAATTTTAAGACTTCGGGTTTGCATTTCTGTAAAGTATGAATCACTGGGGACCCTTACTTTATCTGCTGCAGGCTGTGTGGCAGGGAGTGTGAGAAGCCACGTAGAACTTGAAAAAACATTGGAGGGAATGGCATTGAAAATGTATGGACCAGCTTAGGGCAACCAAGTGCATTCCCTCACCATGATGAGACATTAAAAGCCCTTGGTTTACATTAGGATTTCAGTTTGGATTTCTAGCAATTTTAGATTTGGTAGTTGGAGCTCTTTAATGGTCTCTGTGGTATAAACTGGATAGAAGGGAAAACCTTTCCCCCATATGTTCTTGATAAGATTTAAGTCTGTGTTAAAAACCTCTTCAGCACAATTATATACCTTCTCAGACTGAAAAGTTAATGAATTAGTGAAAACATCCACAAGGAAATATATAAATAACCTGGACAGAAATCCTGACTTTATTATTATTTCTAATGTGTCTCATGTATGTGTTTGTTTTTAGTTGTCAGAATGTCCACAGAAGGAGGATTTGGTGGTACTAGCAGCAGTGATGCTCAGCAAAGCCTCCAGTCCTTCTGGCCTCGTGTCATGGAAGAAATCCGGAATTTGACAGTGGTAAGAAAGAATGAGAAACTTTTCAACAGTGTAAAGAGCTGTGAGGTGAACAACCGAAACTTAGACTAAAACATGTTTGATCACAGCACATTTGCAAAGGCGTAATTCATTCCTGCCCTTTGGGTGGGAAAATGAAAATATAATTTACCTTAGGTGAGGTAACTACAAGGATTTAAAAAATATTTGAGTGGCTTTTCTTAGACATGGGCATGTGTAGTGGATGCTTTGACTTGGAGGTAGTTTAATGTGAGGCATATATTATATATTGGGTTGTCGGAAAAGTCATAACGCATTTTTGCAACGAAAAACATAGAAAAAATACGTCATGACTTTTCCGACAATCCAATATTTTAGAGAATGCGGAAAAACAGAGCTTTCTCACTTATCATCAGTAGCTTCAGCTCATTTCTTAGGCCTGATTTAGTGGCCCTGCCAAATTTTTAGAAGCTGATGAAAACTATTGGGCAATTTATTCAACAACAGATCTATTGTAAGCAGTCACTCTTTCCAGGTTTTAAAAGATACACTTAGATTAGGGCTTCTCAACATCAGCACTGTCGACATTTTGGGCTGGATAATTCTTCGTTGTGAGGGGCTGCCCTGTGCATTGTAGGATGGTTTGCAGCATCCTTGGCCTCTCCGCACCAGATGCCAGTAGCACTCGCCACCTCCTGCCAGTTATGAAAACCAAAAATGTCTCCAGACATTGGCAAATATCTCCTGGGGCTAAAATCACCCCTTGTTGAGAACTACTGACTTAAAAGAATCCGATATAACCCTTGAGCTTATAATCTAGTAATTATAACTAGAATCATTTATCCAGTAAGTATCTATTAAATACTTACCGAGTCAGGCCCAGTGATGAGTCTGAAGCTGTAAAAGTCAAGTGTGTGAGAGCACAGAGGACACAGTGCTTGTTCCTCCCTGGTTGAGTTCGGGAGGCTTTAAGTAAAGGGGACATTTTGTTGAGTCTTGAAATATGGGTAAGTGTTCACCAGATGGAAAGGATGGGCGACTATATATATATATATATATATAAATTGGGTGACGTAATAAAATTGTATAGGTTTCAAGTGTACAGTGCTATAATAGTTCATCTATATATTGCATTGTATGGGGCGAGTAGATCTTAGGCAGAGGGAAAGGCCTCCATAAAGGCCTGTAGGCCCTGAGGGGAGGGCCTGCCATTTACAGGAACAGCAAGCAGTGGCTGGGGTTACTGTGTGGGAAATGGGGGTTGCGGTAGGTTTAAGGGATGTAACAGTGGTAGCAGGAGGTGAGACAAGTTAGAATTGAAATATTTTCAGAGTATAGTGTCATGGCCTTATGAAGAATGTTCCATCTGGTGTCATTTTAGCAAATACTGATGGAGCTCGGTGGGTTAGATGTGTCATTCCTGCCCTGAAGGTATTAGCATTCTGGCAGAGCAGACACTGGATTCCTTCCTAATGTAGAAATAATGATGCAGTTTTTTAGAGTTAGTGGCTTTTAACCTCTGACATACAAGGTCACTTTATTTGCTTACTCAACAAATACTTATTATGCACCTATAGTGGCTATGCTAGCTACCGTGGACCCAGTAGGGAACCAGATAGACAAGATCATTGTATTCACAGAACATGTATTCTGGTGGGGGAGACAGGCTATAAATAAGTAATGAATAAAAGAAACAAAATAACTTCTCATTGTGATGTGATTAACGTCCACTGACTTCAGTGGTAAAAAACGAATTCGTATTCTTGATGTACCTGTGGGTCATGTTTGTTTACAGGAGGCATTTTCAGCAGTTGAGCCTGGCTTGGCCTTTCTGAGAGTGGCCTGTGTTCGTTCATATGTGGATTTCCACTGAAAAGTCATTGTTTCTCTTTTACAGTCTTAAGGTGGTAGTTATCTATACCATCTCAGATATGAAAGAGAAGATAGGAAAAAATGAAATTATAAAGTCAAAGTGGGGTCTTTTGTTTATATTTTGAGGGGATAATCTCATGGTGAAGCTTATCAGGTTTTAGTGTGAAACTAGTGCCCTCCTGGGGCATGGTGCGTCCTGGACAGTATAGCAGGTCTGCGCTCCACCTTGAGCGCAGAAGCAGAAATTCAGCGTCCGAGTAAGTGGCCAGAGAAATTGGAGGTTCAAGCTCAGCACTTAACTCGTCTGTACTTTGTTGGGCTTTGACTTTTTTTAAAATTGTGGTTTAAAAAAAAAACACATAACAAAATTTACCACCTTAATGTTTAACATTAAGTACAGCAGTGTTGAATATATTCATATTGTTATGGAATAAGCTCTCTAGGACTTGTTGAGCTTGCAGAACTGAAACTCTGTGCCCATTAAACAACAACTACTCTCTTCCCCTCTCCCAGACCCTGGTAAACACCATTCTACTTTCTCTGAAGTACCTCATATAAGTGGAATCATAACACCTCTTTGTGTTTTGGTGACTGGCTTATTTCACGTAGCATAGGGGTCGGCAAACTGCGGCTCGCGAGCTCCATGCGACTCTTTGGGTACGTACATGTGGCTCTGAAGTAAATTGAAAATGAAAATAAAACTATCATAGTTTCATTTATAAAAGTTTAAAGGCTATTATTCACATAATGGTGATTTCATTTGTTTTATGGCTCTCCAGTAACTTTTAAATTGTTGTGAGGGACAGGATTGGCTCTTCCGTCTCAAAAGTTTGCCGACCCCTGACTTAGCATATTGCCTTCAAGAGACACCCATGTTGTAACATGTGACTGGATTTCTTTCCTTCTTAAGGTTGAATAATATTCCACGTATATGTGTATATATACTACATTTTAGTCATTCATCTGCCAGTGGGCATTTGTGTTGCTTCCACTTATTGACTGTAGTGAATGATGCTGCAATGAACATGGGGTGGGCTTTGATTTTTACCCTACTTGGTTTAATTTTCAAGCTTGACTGCCAACAAAGCAGATTGTAGTTGACCAACTTATAGTACCTAGACAGCTAGTCCATCAGAGGTTAAACATGGATTATTTTGAGGGATTCAGTTTTAGTTCAAGTTTAGTGAATGAAGAGAGAAAAGAGCAAGGAGGAAAGTTGTCTTTAATCATTGTTCTGTTGATGGCTAACTAAAATTTTTCTCCCATGTACCCTTGAAAACAGGTGCCTAGAATGCTTCCATGGTATCTCTTACATCAGATGCTTAGAGTGTTTGGCACATAATAGGTGCACAATAAATGCTGGAGTGACTCAGAGTCCTTCACTCCAGATTTAGTGTGAAGCAACATCAATGCCACGTTTGAAGAGCATGCAATCCAGTACAGAGTGATCTTTCCCTTTGTAAAACTCCTCTTGTCCCCTCTCCCTGTGACACATGTAGGCATCTGGTTTTCTGTCTGCACCTCTGCCTGTGTAATGTGGCCAGATAGTTTAGCATTTAGTCTGTGCCTTTCCAGAACTGAACAGCACTTATAACCAGACTTCCTCAGATATGTCAGCCTCTTAGGTTGACATCTCAACATGTCTAACAGATTTTTTAAAAATCCACATGTTCAAACTATCCAAACATGGATAAAACTTACGAGAGTATTCACAAGGTGTTGTGGTTTCTAAGACGGGGACAAAGATCGTTCCAAAAACAAGTAATTGAAGTTTGCAAGGTGATATATTTCGTGATGTATTGGAAATACTGACCCCAGCCATTTTGGTCTGCTTTCTGGAAAAGCAATTTATCTTTCATCTCAGCTTGGCCATCACGCCCTCCTCACTCTTAAAAGCTCTGTAATTGTCCATAAATCCAGGTGGTGCTCAGCTGGAATTGAAGTTGGTTAAAAATCATCTCAAAACGATTGTACAACAGGATGATTGTGTAAAATACCGTTTTCCTGCTCAGCAGAGTTCTGGGAATGATAATTAACAGACTTCTTGGCATTGAATTTTACCCCTCTAGACCTCTTTGAAAGTGGGCAAGAAAAAGCTAAGTTTGTCTTTGATGGGGTGGGCGGACAATAATGCTGAATCTTGAAAAGAAAAATCTAATCCTCCCCTAACTTATTCTCTATATCCCATTCAGCCTTCACTTAGCTGTAATTTAATACCTAGGTCACTTTCTTTTAATTGCCAGTTACATCTTTTCACTCTTCAGTGCCTCTAGATTGGACGATGGCATTTCTAACATTACAGTCAAATCAGATAACCATTTAAACAAGAACTTGGAGGTGAAGGTTGGTGGACTGACAAAGCAGGTCCTGTGTTGTTTGAGCCCTTCCTGTAGAGCAGAGCTTCTCAAACTTTGTTGTCTACTGGGCCACATGAGGATCTTGGTAAAATACAGAGTAGAGCCTGAGATTCTGCATGTGTTTTGAGTTCCCGGGCAGTGCCATTGCTGGTGTAAGGACCTCATTTTGAGTAGTCCGTCTTTAAAGCAGTGGTCCTTAACCCTCACTGTTGATCATAGTCACTAGGGGAGTTTTCAAAAAATATGATGCCAGGAGTTCCTGATCCAGTTAGACTGGGATAAAGTCCAGGCATTGTTTTTCAAAAGCTCCCCAGGTGATTCTAACATGCAGCCAAGGTGGAGAATCACTGCTTTTGAGAGGATTAGAATCTTGACTCTGCCCAGTGCCTGACTGGGTAGGCCTGGAAAAGATTTCTCCTCATTATTTGAAACTCGGGATGTTCTGTAGTGCAGTCTGAGACCCATTGACTTTTCTTTGGCTCCGAACTCTCATTGAGTGAATTCAGACTTCTTGAAACTCAGCAGTTTCAGATGGCAGCATTTTTAATGTAGTTCTTTCGTTGTGGTCAGGAACACAGGAAAGTTCTGAGAGAGAATCTGCCCTTGCACCTTGCTGACATCACTCCCAAGAGTAGAAGGAAAAAGTCCGTATGTCCCAGTTGCTCCACTTGGATCAGCATCAGAAGTTAAATATTATTCACGTCAGTTGCGTGGTTGCTAATGACAAGGGAGCATTGAAGTGAAAGCCAATTTAGTGCACCTCAACCTACTGATAGTGAAGGGACTCTTTTTTCCGGTAAGCTTATCGTACACACATCTGACTGGAAAGCTAGGATGGGATTCTGGAAAACTGGGCTATTGTCGGCAGTAATGAACCACACACACATCTGAAGATCCACCTTTCAGACTCGGCCCCTTCAGAGCTCAAGGTTTGGGGATCATGAGAAAACGTCTCATAAAAGGAAAGGTTGGGGTAGGACTTAGAGCAGAGTTTTTTGTAAATTTCTGCCTCATTTTACACCTCTCCAAGGTGGGAATGATATAATCTCTTTATCCTTGACCTTTTCTTGTTGCTTTTTAATCAAAAGAATAGCCTTATAGAAATTCTAAAAGTGGTATTACTCTTTCAAGTTGGGGAAAGAGATCTTTTTATCAGCTTTGGGCTTTGGTTAAGTAATCTTGGAACAATCTTGTGGAAATTATATTCAGTAGCCTCGCCAAATGACAGCACGCTTGCAAGAGACCTAAATCTTGTGGTCATAGTCTTGTGCTGTGTGTATCATCCTGGGAGACCTTCCAAAGGAGCCATCATCCCCAGCATTCTCTTTGGCATTTCTGTTTAGCATCATCATTTTCTGTGATACACCACACCAGAAGGAAGACCAGTGATTGACTTCTGTGGTTAAGCTTTTTTTTTTTTTCTTAATCCCTTTAGGGTCTGGCCCCAATCCACCCTTCCCTTTCCTGTTCCCCTCTGTACTGAGGTCATACATCTAAAACTTGAATAGGCCATGTTTTCTGTGTCTGTGCTTCTGCGCATGCTGTTCCCTCTGTCTGAATAACATTCTCATACTTTTCCAACAAGCAAATTTGTAGCATCCCTTAGGCACAATTCAGATGTCAGCGCCCCCATTGCCAACCCCCCACTGCCAGCTGGTTATTTCCTGCTTTGTCTGGTGGGATTTTACACCCCCATTCTATTAAAGAGCAGGGGTTATAATGTTTTTATGTGGCAGTCTCTAACAATTAAACTAAAAGTTGTTCAAAGGTAAGAATAGATTTGCATCTTTCACACAGTGGTGTAGGTATCATGTTAGTTGAGTTGCATGAATGAGTAAATGAAAGGGGAGAAAAAAATAAGAATAGAAAGAATGTGTCCTGTTATCTCCTTTTGGGGAAATTTAATAAACTGGGCTTCTAAACCCCTGCCAATTCAGGGTTAGTTTTTGTAGAGGCTTCCAGGAAAGGGTTGATACCTACTTTGGAAAAGGAAAAGATGAAAAATTGGTGTTGGGAGTTTGTAGAGGTGAGTGGTAGACAAGCAGCTTGTTGGGTTTGCGTGGGGAAATGAGATGTCTTGCTGTATATTTTATCCTAGTAGTTGCTCTTCCTTCTGTCATCATAAAATGGATTCTGGGTAGGCTGTTTATGTTTTTCCAAAATGCCCCACTGCCTTCCTTGACATATTGTTGAGGTTTTCTGTTGGTCCTAGAAAAGAAAGTTCACTTATATATTAATTATACCAGATCTCAAATAATAGCTGCTCTTTCCATAATGTGATGATGCAAATTCCCAGGTGAGCATATTGGGTTTGGTGAGTCACATTTCAGACCACTTATAGAATCAATCATTTGACACCTAGTCCCAGCAGGGATTTTGCTGATTTTAGCTAATCTGTGCCTTCGGACCTGTTTCTTCATTGCAGCTCTGAAACCAGAATTGATTTTTATTTCTAGAATTGCATCCATCATCGGCCATGTGTTTAAATACCAATGATATAAAAATAAAACAAAAAAATTGCAAATAATGGAGTCGTGCTGGTCAAAAAGCCCTTTCCTAAATCCTATCCACGGTAAAGTGATGTGATTTCCCCCCAGTCCAGTCTTGTTTGTTAAGAAAAAAAAAACTACCGGGCTGTTCCAAAAAGCCGGCTGATAAATTCCCCCTCACCCTTCTCCGTACCCCTCCTCCAAGCAGATTTTGGAGACTAGCCTTCTGCTGCTGTGATGGGAAAGAAGCTCCTCCCCGATTTCTGGTGTCAGGTTAGTGCAAAGGTCAGAAACAGAGAACTGAGGGTCACTGTGGTCCGGTGCTGCTGGCACTTGCCCTTGTAGTCCCCGAGTGGAAGAAAGAACTGGCAACTCAGAGGAATGCCCCTGAGGCAAAAACCTTGTTGTAATGTGCTTATTGCATACTGGTAAACTTTCTCGGGAAGAAAAACACTCTTAACGCACCTCTGTATTGTGCTTGCAAAGAATCTGGTATTGTTTGGAGCTACTTTTCTAGAGGGCACTGTGAGAAGCCATCATAAATTTATCCTGAAACCCTTTGTTTGAAGCTCTGCATGGGTTAAGAAGAATTTCGCAAGGAGCTTGTATTTTCTTCATTTCATATGTACCTCCTCTCCTGCCATATTTTCTGAAAGGTGGGACTAAGCAAATCAGTGTGTTTCATGCTGCCTGTCATGCTCTATTGACTGTCCCCACCATTTATGCACCTTTTGTTACTCATTTCAGAAAGATTTCCGAGTGCAAGAACTCCCACTGGCTCGTATTAAGAAGATTATGAAACTGGATGAAGATGTGAAGGTGAATTCACATTCGTTTTTATTGTTCATATTGAAGCTAAAATGATGGGTGGAGTATTGTTCATTTACCTAGAGCTCAAAGTTTAAACAAAAATGAAAATATTGTTATTGTTTGTCGCTTTTTTTATTTGGTTACTGGTAAAATTGTTAAGTGAGCTGAATGGAACAGTTTTAATGATTATATGGTGCTTCTCTGAAAATTAGGGGTATCCTCTTTTCTAGATGTTGAAAAGATGCTGAGTGCTTTTGAATCACCATGTAATGTAAGCATGTATCATCAAATCAGCAGGACAGTGCCATCTTCGTAGCATTTATTACAACCTCTAGTTTGTTGATTTGAGCTCTTAAGAAATGTTTGATAATGATATTGCATCTGGGAGTTGTTTTACATGAATTATACTTGTGAGAAGGTTTACTTGGGGATGGCCGGTTCTGTATTCCTAGGAGTCCACTTCCCATTATAACTCAGGAAAAGAGCAACTCCTTCTCCTTACCCCTCAAAATTAACAGTCTCTTGTATTTGTGTAGAAAGTTAACAGTTCACAGCAATTTTCCTTTCTGTTAGCTCACTTCCTCCTCATAGCAACCCTGTGAGATTTGATAGGATAAGAATTACTAGTTTCATTTTATAGGTATGGAAATAGACAAAAGAAGTTAAAAGTGACTCACCCAGAGGAGGAGAACCAAGATCCCAGTTCTCATCTCTTGCTTCCTTAACTCCAGAGCTCTTTCCATGGCCCTGTCCTGTACAGACTACCTCACCAAGGGTTCAGAGCCTTATTTGACCAAGAGCTTACATTACTTACCATGTGCCAGGCCCTGTGCTGGGTGCTTATATATATATATATATATATATATATATATATATAATCTCATTTGATTCCCACACAGCACTGGAAGGCTCTCCTCTTTTTCAGTATATGAAAAATAAAGCCCAAAAGGATGGTAAGCCTGAGACTACCTAACTCCATTGATTCTCAAACTCATTATCTTTCCCCACACTGTCTCTCCTTGGATTAAAACTTAAACCCTACCACTTACTGTCCTTATGGCCATGGGCAAGTCACTTCGCCTCTCCTAAACCCTAGTTTCTCTGAAAGGCTATTTAGAGAGTAAGAATGCATGATAGGTGCTAGCTAGATAAGTAAGTATTCTTTCTCCCTCTTCCCTTCTTTTACCCAATGCCTGGTTTGTCCCTACTCTTGGATTTATTTTACTGTGGGATCTCTTGAGGCTACTACCTTCTCATTTTCCAATCCTTGTCCCATAGTCCAGTGGCAGGACATAAGGTAAAGGACAAACTAACTGGTTTGAATGACTTGCTGGTGATTGACAGGAAGGGCCTACGTCTGTTGCAGATGATCAGTGCAGAAGCCCCTGTGCTCTTTGCCAAGGCAGCCCAGATTTTTATCACAGAGTTGACTCTTCGAGCCTGGATCCACACGGAGGATAACAAGCGACGGACTCTGCAGGTAATATTGTAGACTTACGTTGGGAAAACGGCAAGCAGTGAGTGGCCTTTGCGTGCTTCTCTTGCATGGCTTTGGACCAAAGATTGTTATTTCTTAGGCTTCTGTCAAGCTGATGTGTGTAATTGGCATCTTCCTCTACTGTTGGGAGGCAGGCATACCTTAGATAGCCATGGTAGTATTTCTGTGCTAAAAATATTAATTTCCAACTCTCCCATGGTTTTCACAGCTCAGCGACTGAACTCTTCACTTGGAGAGTCCTCACTATAAACAAAGGCTAAAGTAATATTTGTCTATTTCCAGTTGTAAACAACTTCTGATTAGCAGCCTTGAGACACTAGGAAAGGACAGTCCCAGGAATAATCAGTCTCAATAACCTCATTAGCCTTTTGTTCCTTGTCTGCCTTCCTGGGAATCCTTCCCCTGTTCTTTTTTTATTTCCTTTTTATTTTAATCCAGCAAATCAGCATTCATATTACATGAAGACCCAGTGGCCATTGGCTCTAGAGGCCCTCCCCTCAACAGCCAGGCCCTAGCTCTTGGAGAAAGGTTTTCCAGACATAAGAGGAAGGGTGTGACAGATACAAGACAGTAGCAGGATTTTAACAATTAAGCCAAGAACGTAAATTATGTTTCCTCCTCTTGTTTCCCTTTACCTCCAAAATTGAAAATGCATGTATTTATTCATTTATTCTACAAATATTTATTAAACACCCACAATGTGCCAAACAAGCACTGTTCTAGGCTCTGGAGATTAATACACAAAACAGACAAAAATTCCCACCCCCGGGAAGCCTGTATTCTAGTTTAGCTAGACATTGAGAACTTACTTTATGCTGCCTTGAAGGAAGCCTATGGATCTAGAGAGATCCAATTAAAGCTACCTTCAAGAGCAATTCAGATTAAAAAATAAAATGGGCAAAACACTTAAATGGACTCTTCAAAAAAGAATACATCCAGGCCACATGAGTGGCGTGTTGGGTAGGAGGAGTTGGCTTGGGATGCCAGCTCTGAGCAGCAGGGCCCTGGTTCAGATCCCACATTAGGGGCAGTGACACTGTGCCCTCTACAGCTAAGACGGTGAACAACAGCTCAACATGAAGCTGGGCTGCCGTGAGTTGCCGGCGACGGCGTAGGCTGCAGTGGGGCTGCTGTGAGTGGCTGTCCAGTGGCCGGTGAGCGACTGTCTCACCCAGAAAGAGCGCAATGATAATACCAACATGGGCCAGTGAAGCGACATCCTCCACAACTAGACTGAGGAACAAAAGGACAGCAACTTGTCTGTTCCCCTTCCTCGATTCCCCAATAAAATCTTAAAAAAAGAATATATCCAAATGACCAATAAGCATATGAAAAGGTGCATAACATCACTTGTCACCTGGGAAATACAAATTAAAATCACAATGAGATACTGGTTTATACCCACTAAAATGGCTAAAATTAAAAAATACCAACTGACAATACCACGTGTTGGTGAGGAAGTAGAACAACTAAAACTCATATGCTGCTGGTCAGAATGTAAAGTGCTGCAATCACTTTGGAAGGCTATTGGGCACATTCTAGTAAAGTTAAACCTGTACCCACTCTAACTCAGCCATTTCAATCCTAGTTATAGAAACCAAAGTGTGGGCATGCTTGTATAAAAATGTTGATACCAACCTTATTTATAATAGCCCAAAACTGGAAACAACTCAAGTATCCCATCAAGATGGGAATATATAAAAAACGGATATCATCATAAAATGGATTATTAAACAATAAAAAACAAACTGTTAATCATACAACATGGATGAATCTCAAAAATATTATATTAAGCAAAAGAAACCAGAAAAAAAAATTACATAGCACATGATAACATACGCTGTCACCATCTATAGTGATAGAAATCAGAGTTGTGGTTGCCTCAGATTGGTGGGGGTACTTGACTAGAAAAGGATGGAAGGAAGCTTTTTATAGTCTTATCTGGGTGATAGCAACCTGGCTGAATCTAGTCATTAAAATTCATCAAGCTGTGTATTCAAAATTTTTGTATTTTACTAAATATCAGTAATAATTCAATAAAATATTAGCACTTAAAAAGGCAAAATAGAAATGTTAAAAGACCAATTTAAGTAAGTATATGTTTCCAAAATACTGTAGAACACTTTGGTGTATGTTTGGAGGTGATTATTATTTCTTCTTCTTTTCCCCCCTCATTCCATCCTTAGATGAACCGTTTAGATAGCTTGAGTAGGTGACATCATCAAGAATGTGATACTATATCGTGCTAATCTTAAATGAGTCCTGGCAGCCTTAAGATGTGCCCTGCTTCGGTAGGATGGGTTATTATCAAGCTGCTGGTTGGCAAGAGTGGTGGACTGGAGTTTTGCATTTCAGTGGCTTGGGGCCATCACAGAGACAAGGAAAGGAAAAAACAGAAAATTTCCATCCCCTCCTGTTTTGTCTCATGAGTCACCTTCTCTTAAGATGTGATATAAGAGGTTGCTAAGAATTTCTGTTAGTAGGTTGACTCCCACCCCCATATTTTATTACGAAAAAGATTCAAACATAAGCAAAATTTACAGTGAACACCTGTATACCCATCACTTTCTATCCCTATATCTGTCTATTCTTCTATCCATCAAGTCATCTATTTTTTAATGAATTTCAAAGTTTATTTTTTCCTAAATACTTCAACATGCATATCATTCACTAGAGTTCACTCTTTTTTCCTATTTTTTTCTTTGAAATTGTCATACAGTGAAGTACACAAATCTTGAGTATACATAGTATGTTGGTTTTTTATAGTAATAATAAAAAGTCCTTTAATTTTATTATTTAAAGAAAGGGAGTATCACTCATAGAAAGAACCCCTTCAGAGCAGGCCTTGGTTTCAGTATCATTAGTCAGCTGACTCCTGTGTTTTCTGCGGCCCACCCCTGCCTCTATTCTAGTAGCATCAGACTTCTAATGTTCATGTCCCATTAAACAAGATTTAAACCATGGATTTAACACTACAATTTTGAATTCCAAAATAAAAATCATAGCCTTGTAGGAACTAAGATATAGATCATTGAGTAGAAAATATTGCAAAAAGCTATTGAATTAGAATTTCAGCTAGGAGATTCAAAATAGATTATAATTACTTGGGAACCAAAGAGGCAAAATATTATTTCAGGCCTTAAAAAGGTTATAAGATCGAATGGTAGCCTAACCTGACTAACGACAGAAGGACTAGAAACCTGCCAGTTGAGATTCCTAGACTTGTACAAATTTAGCTGGAGGATGATAATTTAACAATTTAACGAGGACCTTGGGGCAGGGTCCAGCAGAGGCAGTAGTAGTTGTAGGCTGGAATATTTGGTTTGTGGAGCATGAGCTGCAGGTAGCTCTTTTTTGTCCACACATCACATAGCAAGTCGGATCATTTGAAGTTTATAAGAGTTTGGCTGTGCTTGTTTCAGCTATAGACTTGGCCATGGGTATTTGTTTGGCTTAAAAGTCATCGTCTTATTTTACTTGTAACTTGGAGGGTATAAAGCTAGGTGAACGAGTTTCTCCCCAGGCTAATTTTTCACCTTGCCTTTCTTTGTTACAGAGGAATGATATCGCCATGGCAATTACAAAATTTGATCAGTTTGACTTTCTCATCGATATTGTTCCAAGAGATGAACTGAAACCTCCAAAGCGTCAGGTGAGCTAGGAAGGCGGTCGTTGCTGCTGCTGACTGAAGAGCACTTTGCATATGGGTGTCAAATACTGCTCCTTTTCGTCTCTCATCTGCTATTCCTTTTGCTTCTCCTCTAGACCAGATCCATCTTTAACATCTCCTTCTGTTACTCATCTATGGATACTTTTAACTCAGTGCCGCTGAGGTGGTATTTCAGTGAAAATAGACAAAATGAAAATTAAAGACTTTAGTTATAAAACAGTTAAAGCTCATTTCAAGGTATCTTAGGAAGTCTATCAGAGTTCTTAACCTGGGATGGGAGAATATTCCCAGTGGGTAAAGATTTCAGATTTTTAAGAAACAGCCTCTCTACATGCACAGTGATGTTTGGAGTGAGTGGACTTCGGTCTAGATTGTGGTTCTCTGGACAGTCTCTGGCTACACATCAGAATCACCTGTTAGGGCTTAAAAACTATCAGTGCCCAGGCCCCACCCCACACCAGCTGAATCAGAGTCTGTGAGGGAGAGGCCCAGGCATCAATCAATACTTTTTAAAGCTCCCTAGATGCTTTCAGTGTGCAACCAAATTTGAGAAACACCACTGAAACCATTTTCTAAGCAGTCCAGAGAAGGAGATGTGACTGTCTGTCTGCCTGTCCCTCTCTTCTGCCTGCCCCTCTCCGATGGTCACGCCGATTGGTTTTTTTAACACCTGGGGTGCATAAACTCTTAATTACAATTGTACTAGACCTCTGTCCTGTATAGCTCATTGTTTCAGGCTGGAAGGTTGCATGACTCACTAGGTATAGTAGAGACAGCTGGGGAATAGTGGCAGTCTGGCAGGAGCAAAGCTGCTTGCTTTGTTAATAAAATGTTGTGTTTTTTTATGAATTATTTCATAGTATATTACCCTTAGAAACAGGGTCATTCAGTAACTGCCGTGTCGTCTCATGTTAATAACCAGTCAGAAAGGATAGGAGGAGTGGGCATGTGTAACCCTGACCCTGCCTGGGGGCCTTTGGATTAGCAGGCCCCTCTGTCGCCTCCTTACTAGAGCAGGGAGCCTCACTGCGTCTCTGTTCTTTCTGGGCAGTCTTTGCTACTGTAAACATCCTTGACTGGAAGCTGTAAGGTGTTCAGAGGAGCTTTCAGTCGGATGTTTACAGCGGCAGGCTGCCACGGTCGTCCCTGGCTCCGCATCGCCTCGGAGACATTGCAGGTTTGTGCCCGTGGGCTCACTTCCTTCTCTCGGGGTGCTTCCCTCCTCTCTGAGAGGTCACTACAGTTAGAACTCAGACCATGTCTCTCCCTTCAGAACAATGGATACACCACGCGTGCTCTCCTTGTTGGAATTTATTTCAGAAGCCCCCTTTAAAAAATGAGGTGGTGAGATCTGTGACAAAATCAGGCCCTGCTCCTGCTCCTGGTGCTAACTCCTGCTTGTTCTCTGAGCTGCCTGCTGAAGCAGCTGGCTGGAGAGAAGGGTCATGCCCTGTCCCTTCCCCCACAGTCCTCAGTACTTGGCTCCTCGGTGTCATACAGCTCCTTGTTCCATCCTAGCCTGCCTCAAAATGCTATGATCCATCTCTTTTTAAAGTGTGTCTAGCTGAAATAGCTCCTTGCTGCCCGGATTCAGTTTTCCGTAGGTGTTCAAGCCATTGATTGGCATCCTATTCGGGACAGCTGCTGCCTGGCCTTTGAAAGGTTGAGATTGCTGAAAGCTGGCCTGAAATTCTAAGATAGCACTTTTAATTCTCTGTAGACATGAAGTTTCCCAAGCTCCAAATTGGCTGGCACCTCCGTAAGTCCTTTAAAAGCGCCTAGTCTCCAAAATTCACCCTTTCTGAAGGAGGCAGCAGTTCAGTCTTGCTACTGAAGCGAATGTACTTTTTACTGGTCTGGGGCTGGCTGCACAACACTGGTGTGATGGCCCTAGGAGGCGATGCTGCTCATTTTCTGGCGTTGTTTGTCAGTCTCTACTCCTGAACACATTCCAAGAGCAAGCCCTGTGGTTGGGGAGGCCACTGCTAAAGCTGGGCAAGTACCCCATTCCTGATTGAGCCAGTCATTCAGAGATTGTTCTAGCACTTGGGGTGATGTTCTACGGCTGGGGAAAGGAACTAGCCAGAAATATTGAGTCGTGGATCTAAGGCCCTTGACTTCTCAGAGATGCTGGGGAATTTCTTTTGTTCTTCGGGGAAGCAAGTAAAGACTATTTGAAAGCAGAGGGTAATTGAGGTCTGACTTCTACCCCACTAAAGCTATGAGTTGAAAGTTCCTGCCCATTAAAATGTCATTTTCTCTTCACCCATCTCTTTAAATCAAGCATAATCATTCCCTTGCTAGCTTGACCTTCATTGGCAGAATGAGTCTTCATAATGCTGAGGAACCTTAGATAATGCCTCCTTCCATTCCAGTGATTTGAGAACAGTCATGCCCTGTCCTCACAACACAAACCTAGGTGCCTCTACTGGTTGGAGTGTTCTAGACACTACCTGGTTCATAAGCAAGTTAAGAGACTGTATAGTAGGCAGTACAGGAAAAGTTGACCCACTCTCACAGCTTTTGGCAAGGGGTACTTTGGCTTCTGAAAGGGGTATTTAAAGGGATTGCTTTTTGTCCAGCAAAAAGAGCACAGTCAGTTGCTGATCAGCTGCAGTCAGGGATAACTGGAGACAGAACAGTCACAGTCACAGGTCAGCGCTCGGGAGTGCCAGTGTCTCCCTACTCGCTGACTTCCTACAAGTTGGTTCGGGCTGCTGGGTGGGTGAGTGGGGGCGTGTCTCAGTCCTCTATACCTTCTCATCACCCAAGAGCTTTTCCAAGTTAGGTCTGAACTTTAGTGATTAATGTTTTTTAATAAAATGAGAAGGGAGATCCTACTGGAAAATAAATTCATTGAACCCATTTCAAGAGCTATGAAAAGACTAGTTGGCCTCTGTTTCTTGGCTAAGGAGGGTATCGGTATTTTATCCCTGTCACAGCTGAATCTAGTTGACAAGGGTAACCTTGATTTATATTGGTGAGAAGTTGGAGTTGAAATGGAGGTGACGTTGTCACAGTTAAGTTGTGCTGGAAACTGAGACCTAGATGAAAATAAAAGGGGACCTCCTCACCTGCCTCGGCGTGCTCACATTCAGGGTTCAAACTGTTTGGATCTGAAACACAGAATACATTAACCTAGAAAGTTGGTTCATGTTGAGGACTGGTTTAGAAACCCTGAATGGTACAAGTGTCTGTGTAGGCTAGGTGACTGACCATCAGGGAACCTTGTCATGCTGAGATCCACGTTTCTCAGAGGCTAGATATCAGCAATCCTAGTTTTAGCATTCTGGGCCCCCAGTCACCAGGCAAGCAAAAGAACACTCAGCCCTGTTCCATAGGGCACAGGAGCCTCTCCCCGCACTCTGACCACAGAAGTTTAGAAGCAGCAGAGAGCTGAGGAGCTCTTCTGTTTAGAATAGAGGTTGTGTTCAAGAGAATTTGTCCTACTACCAACTTGGGTTAAAAAAGTGTAGGCATACCTTGGAAATTTTGCAGGTTCAGTTCCAGACCACCACAATAAAGTGAGTACAGGCATCCCTGGGAGATTTGTAGGTTCGGTTCCCGACCACCGGAATAAAGTGAGTATCTTAGTAAAGCGAGTTGTAATCTTTTACTGGTGGAGCGTCTTGCCTTCAGTTTAATACCTGTGAAGTACAGTAAAGTGAAGTATAATAAAATGAGGTATGCCTGTGGTTTCCTACCTCTAACCGCCTGCCTGGCTCTCTAAATCCATTCATCATTCAGCAAGCACTTACTGGGTACCCACAAGGGAGGAATATAGGTAGGGACAGTGAAGAGCGAGACAGCGCTAGGTTTTGCCTTCAGAGGGCTTCCATCCTAGCAGGAAAAGCAGTGAATTTGACAAGCAAGGACAAAAGCATGTGATGAGGAAAGGGCTGTGAAGCACAGATTAGGGCGCCTAACATAATGAGGGTTGGGGTCAGCACAGCTTTGTAAATGTCACTTGGGGATCTTTGCAGCAGTCCACAGGGTCTCCATACCTTGAAGAAGAGTGTTTTCCTCTTTTCTCGAACCTGGCAAACTTAGCACAGAACAAGGAAGTGAGCAAATTGAGCTGTTCTTTTTGCTCAGCCAGCCCAAGTTGTTGTATGTTTCTGTTGTTTTTGTTGTCCCAGGCAGGGGCACCATGTGTCACAGGGTCCTTCGGAGCAGATGCTGATCTTTGTGTCGGTGGTCAGGGGCCGACCAACCCTGGACTCTCAGGCTGTCACCATGCTGTAGTGTGTGTAAACATCCTACACTCTCAGCTGTGAGCTCAAGGTGGCTGGGAGAGGGTTGTTTACTCCTTCTGCCATGGAAAACGTCAGCTGAAGAAGGAACAGTCTTCACCCGGCAGATCGGACAGAATGCGACTTCCTTAGTCAGCCAAGGCAGTACCCCAGCGGAGAGCTGTCCCTCAGGCCCCCTGGGTTGCGCTTCTGTGGCTAAGTACAACCAGAACCAGATGTGACACTGGATAGATGGGGCCCTCAGGGACCACAGAGTTCTTGACATGCTGTGAAAGGCGGGGCACTTGCCTACTGGTGCTCTCGATCCTAACATTTGATTCTGAAATTTCAACCCCAGAGAAGCCCTGTATCCCTTTCCCCTGCTCTGTCTCTACCGAGGTGGTGGGAGCAAAATAAGGAGAGTGCTGCGCATTTGGAAGACTGGGAGCCGGCTTGCGAGCATGGCATTTGGGTAGCATCTTTTACTGCTCGCAGTTAGCACTGTTCTCAGATCATAGGCCTTGACAGCATTTACTGACAAGCACTGCTGGTGCGTGGTTTTTAGTTACGGTAATTATTTGCCCATTTGCAACTCATCACACAATGGGTGATTACTCTGTGCTTCAGAAAATTGGCTGTATGTTTTGTGAGGCCTATGGAATCTGTTATTTTTAGTTTGATTTAGCACAACTGGTCTTTCGAATTCCACTTTCCTTTGGCTTCAAATGTGGAGAGCTCAGCATTCAGCAGGCAACTGCACAGAGCCTGTTTGGGGGAAGAATGGAAATTCACTCTGGCGGCTGCTGAGTCGGTTCTTTTCCTCTTACCTGCCTCTCATTCTACCCCACAGGAAGAGGTGCGCCAGTCTGTGACTCCCGCGGAGCCCGTCCAGTACTATTTCACGCTGGCTCAGCAGCCCACCGCCGTCCAAGTCCAGGGGCAGCAGCAAGGCCAGCAGACCACCAGCTCCACCACCACCATCCAGCCTGGGCAGATCATCATTGCACAGCCTCAGCAGGGCCAGGTCTGTCAGCTGTAGAGGGTGTCTGCCCAGCAAGATGTTAGGTTTGGGAAGGCTAAAGCTTGACTAGGGCGGAGAGGCACTCAGATCATTATAGAGCACTGGATTTGACATCTGGAAATTGGGGCTTACGCCCTGATTCAGCCATTGAATGACATTCTCTCTGGGCCCCGGTTTCCGCATGGGCCAAATGAGGAAAGTACAGTGGACGAGATGTTCTCCAGGATCCCCATGAGCTAAATAATTTTAGAAGGAAGAAAGTCTGTATAATGCTGCCATGAAGAATAGTGGCATCTCTGTAGAAGGTATTTTAAGTGGATTCCATGCCTGCTGTCTGTGTGTCTATACAGGAATTGGAGTGTGTACCCTTAAAGGGGAGGTCAGGCATTATTGCCAGCTTGCATACCTCTCCTCTCCTTCTCCCCCTCATTTCTCTGTCCTTCTCCCCCTCATTTCTCTGTCCTACAATATTTGTGTCAAGTGACCTCCTCTTACAATAGTAAGCAGAAGATTTTTTTCTCTCCCCAGTAAATTGTTGTGAGAGCCGTAACGTTCACATTTGTTGGGGATCATGATAAGTGGCTGCAGAGAACTCTATTTTCTGAGCCCTGAATCAAAATTCCCTGTCAGTCATTAATTTATTTATTCATCAAACTTGATCATCTTCTGTAGATAAAGTCCTATGCCATATGTCGGGGATACAAGCATGAATAAAACAAGCCCTATTTTTAAGAATTCACAATCTAGTGAGGGCCACAAATACTTAAAGATTATACTGCCTTAGTATAAAGATTATACTAAGATATTCTTAGGATTGTATGGAGGGTATTATGGGAGCACTTCAAAAGGGGTACCTAACCAAGATGTGAGGGAGGTGGTAGGAGAGGATGTCAGAGAAGGTTTCCTGAAAGAAATAACAGAGTCTCAGAGGGAATAATGGAAATGAATCAGAGAGGGAAGGAGGGCTTCCCAGTAGAGGGCTGAGCACGAGCAAAGGCTTGGAGGTGAGAAGCAGCACAGGGAGTGGTGAGGGTGCAGCCAGCGTAGGGGAACATCTAGGCCAGCCTGAAAAGATAGAAGACACATCCTAGGCAGCCTTGTGTATTCTAGTAAGGAGCTGGGTTTACCTAGAAGAAAAAAAAAAAATAGGGGTGGAGGTAGATCTAAATATTAATTATGATTTTAAAATTTATTCCCTGCTGGGTTTTTTTAATCCATATAACAGAAACTTATTGAGTGCTTGGTCTTTGCCACATACCATGCTAGGCAGGAGGGGTTCAAAGATGATTGCAGCCCAGCACCTGCCTCAAGGAGTTCACTGCACCGTGCTGCCTAAGGGACCTTCTTTGGCTCATGCTTGTGCCTCTGCAGTGGTGAGAGCTTTACCTGCCAAAGTCTATCCCTTTACAGAGCAAACTTCAAGGAGTCTGCCAAGGGCTGGCCCCGATTGGCTGATCATCCTAAGAAGCTCATGGCTGTTGTGCCCCGACAGCAGGGCACACCATACGTGATTTGACAGCTGCCATGCTAACACAAGCCCTCATTTTCCTGAAATGATTTAGAAATACTTTGGAAACCCTCTCAGGAAAATTGAGTTGATAGAGTACAGTGATGAGTTGGCAGTATGCTTTTTTTTTTAAGTCAGCAAGAATTTCATCTATCCTTTTCTCTGCCCCTCCAGACTTGCTCAGGTTGGAGCTGATAAGGTTTGTAAGGATGGTGAAGTTGGTTCCTTCCGGCTATCGTTTCACTGTCTTGCTGGTTCAGGGTGGCCTTGTGCTGTGTGACACCTCCTTGGGCCCCTGTAGTAATGGTTATTTCAAGTTGAGTGCAGATATCCTTTGCAGGACAGAATACATGCTAAGTTGGAAGGAAAGCCTATTTTGACAAAGTGAATCTTGTGTTTTCTGTCATAAAATTGAAAACTTATTTCTGGAGGTTGGGGAATAGGCCGAGTTGAAAATCGTGGTATGAGAACAGCTGTTTCCTGTTGTCCTAGCCCACAGCATGTATTTTTACATAGGTCCCTCTGTCATTTCTTCCCCATCCTCCTCCAGTTGATAGTAATTTCTCCGTACCTTGTAATCCCTTGAATCTCATATGTAGTTCCCAGAATACATCCCCTTCCCTTGTAACTTTAGATGCATAATAGACCTATGCCATCAGAATGTAAGAGCATCAGAATAGCAGTATCGATTGAAGCCCATGATTCATTGAGACTCACCGAGTACTCTTATTGAAGGGGGGAGAGAGATCTAAATCAGGGGGCTTGCGGGGGATAGGTGTAGTTTAAAAGGCTCTACCCTCTTCTTAACCTCTCCCCCCATCACTCACCACCAGTCCCCACCACCACCCTCCACCTCCCACCACCACCACCAGATGAGCAAGCTATGCTGTAAAGGCCACATCTACGGCTAAAGTTAAGTTTTGAGATCTGAAGAAATGACTAACTGATCCTTTTGACAGTTCAAGTCTTTACCGTCTCTGAAAGGAGTACGTTTCATAGGACTACAATCCACCAAGTGTGTGTGAGACATGGACTCTGCCAAGCCATATACATTAGACAGAAATTTCTTAAATCTGAGATATCTTTTTCTAGAAAGTTAAAATTCTTGCTTTATTAAATTCTGTTACTTAGTGGTAGCCTCAGTTAAGATCCAGGCCTTAACAGTTGCCGATGTCCACAGTGTGTTAACCTGTTTGCCTCGCCCGTGGCAGCCTTGCTGTGATCAGCTGACTGACCGGTGTGGGCTGGAGTCGCTCTGCTGCCTGAATGGGGGTGAAAATCATTGTGCACTTTATTTTCCTTCCAGTGTCTTACAAGCCTACAAAGGAGCCCAGAATCCTGAAATTTATAAATTCATACTGACCCCGCCTTCCATTTAATTCGCCCTCCAAATTTATCTGCTCCAGACTTGACTTAGGCCATTTCTCAAGTGAACTGTCTTGGTTGCTCTCCATTCCTCTGTATCATATGTGCTTTATTATCATTGAAACGGCTGTGAAAAGTTGCAGCATTTCATTTGAAGCATGGAAATATTTAGGGCCCAGGCAAATATTCTGTACCATGAGTCTAAAAATCTGTTTGGCTTTCCTCTCTTTTATTTTGGAGGGTAACAGCTTTAGCCGTGCTCTAACCAAAGGACTCTGTAGGTGGGGAATTATTATTAGTGTTACGATCAGGTCAGGCATTCATGGAGAGGGTTTGCTCCTAGTTGACGGCTCATTAGTAACCCCTTGGGGAGCCCACTTACTGGCTCTGCACCGGAGCCCAGTCACCTCCCTCATGACTCTTCTTTCCAGAGCACACCAGTGACCATGCAGGTTGGAGAAGGTCAGCAGGTGCAGATAGTCCAGGCCCAGCCGCAGGGTCAAGCCCAGCAGGCCCAGAGCAGCACTGGACAGACCATGCAGGTGATGCAGCAGATCATCACGAACACGGGGGAGATCCAGCAGATCCCGGTAAGCCTGGCCTGTCCTGCCCCGAGGTGTGCACGGCACTGTGCTCACATGGCAACAGGACATGCTCAGAGACGTTCCCATCTGAATACAGACACATGTATATACCAGGGGTGCGGGAACAAATGTATGCACATGACTTGGATTCATCTTTTGTTATCAGTATATATTATTACAATTTTAATACAGGTTTCATTTCTTAACATGTGTATACATTTTTTGGGGGGCACCCTCTGTATAAAATATTGCGTATACGTGTGTGCATATGTATATATTTTGTGTGTGTGTGTATATGTATGTGTGTATATTTTGTGCGTATGTGTGTGCATATGCATGTAATACACATATGTACATACATTGTTTTTTTTAACCTGTCTCCCATTACCCCAGACCACAGCTCGCTTCACTGTGTACTCACTGCTTTCCTTTAACCAGGTTCAGGTTCACCACCAGGGGCAGCTCCTCTTGATTTCCCCTCACCTGACCTATACAGAGAAATCCTTGTAACCACTATTCCATGCCTAGGCCCAAAGGCCCTGGGAGGCAGTCCTGTCTTTTGATTAGCAGAGAATAAGGGGGCGGTGTGTAGGGAAAGCCATAAATACACTTGTTGCATATTCATGAGTCAGTTCCCAGGGGAGCCTGCAGCAAAGTGTATTTTTGGCTTTCATTTAACTTACCCATTCCTTCACTGTGGACTGCTGCTTCCTGTGTGCCTTGAGGGATTTCTTTCCTCAGATTGGTTGGCTTTTTCACTTGTACTGGGTCTCTTGTAAAAAATGTCCTTGTCTTAATACTTGCCATCTATACATTGGTCATCTTGCCACCAAAAAATGTGGAAAGTGAGTGACATGGGGCAGTCCTTCTATTTCCTGTCCCTTGCCCTTCCTATTGTGAATGAAATGTAGGCCGATATAGAAATTCACTTGGACTTGATTAACCACTTCCTCTCTGGAAAAAGCTCAAAGAGTATCCTCAATAGTTTTTGGAAGTGTTCTTATTATCAGAGTAATAGGCCAAGAGAAAGTTTAGGAAAGTGAAGCGCTTGCGCGCATGCGCTCTCTCTGTCTGTCTCTCTCTCTCTCTCTCTCACACTCACACTCCATCAATTCCAGGTCCCTCATCTCACTGTTTCAGCTATCAACCCCAAGACCTCTCTTGAATGGTTTTCGTTCATGTGAAGGCACCAAAACAAGTTTCTTTTAAGCCAGAGAAGAGTTCCCACTTTGTGGTAACTCTGAGGCAGAGCTTTAGCACAGAAAATTTGTTGTAGAATCCAGAACCTTGTCTCCACTGTTCTCAGATACCTTCTGCAGGAGTCTGCATCTCTGAGCACATCAGAATGTTTGCGTAGTAACGGCCTTCAGGAAGGAAGCTCTGCTTCTCTTGAAAGCCCAAGTGGTAGGCTTATTTGCTCTGTAGCTAACATAAAAAAGCTGTGAGGACCCCCGGATCTGTTCTCGTAGAGTACTAAGGGACAGTATCACCAGATGTCTAAACCTAAGCCTAAAAGAAGTGCTTCTTGCTTCTAAGAACTGCTTGGAACTATTTAGCTCACAGCTTTTCAGTCACATTTGAGTTTCTGCAGAGAGCTCTTCCCAGCTGGGAAATGGAAAATCCCTGTGGCTGTCAGTACACCTTCCCCCATTCCTGGGACGAAGCTTTAGTCTTTCATCCCATGTGCCTTGGTTGGAGTTCTGGTGACTCCTGGGACCAGATACCGTCAGTTTCAGCCTCGCCCAGCTGCCTGCATCCCCCCAAGCATCTTAACCTTATTGCCTGGAAGCTGCCACATGTGATTGAGGTGGGGAGTTGAGGCTTTGCATCACGACTTCCCAGCAGCAGCTCTTGGCATATTCTCAGGAAATAAATGACTACAGGTCACAATACCGTGCCGCATCGCCTTTGAACCAGATTCTTAGCAGGGTTAGATTTTGTGGCCCTCCATCTTTCCTTAAGCGGACAATTCTGGAATGGTCTAGCAAGAACTTCAGGATTGGTCTTTCTCGGTGGTTCCAATACTCTTTGAGGCCAGCAGCTTCAGAGAAGCAGTATGATTTAACACTGCGCTCAGGTGTTCGGCTTCCTCCTCTCAGCATTTCCCTCATGGAAGTAAAATTCCTGTGGTGACGTTAGCTCTTCGTGGCAAGGGGAACATTTGCTCCTGGACAAAGAGGTGTGACTTGCCTGTTCGCCTCCAGAAGCTCACCCTTCCCACAGAGGCTGGACAGCCAGGGAGGGTGGTGCCTGGGCCCCCAGATAGACCAAACCTGCCCGTGCCCTGGGGGCAGATTTCATCCCCCAGATGCCAAGCGCGAATGTCTGCAGGTCTCTGCTGACGGGGCCACAGTTCCTCTTAGGATGTAACCGCCCTGGTCCTCTCCTCACATAGAGCACTAAAACGCTCATGGTACACGGAGCGGAGCGTTAAGAGTCTGAGTTAAGGCTTTTAGCACACAATTAAATGCAGCATATGGTATTATTGTATTATCTGAGACTTAATCTGAAGCATGAGGGACTCTAAGGGCATTTTTGTAGCTTTGGTTTCCCATGATGGGGTTTTCTGTAAAAGGTTTATTGATTCAGCTTCCTCTTGGGAGGTGTTTGGCCAGATGCTAGTGCTGAACACCAAGGATCCTGAAAGTCCCACAGACCCCCATTGGTCCTGGCTCCTGGGGACAGAGAGAGGAAAGCAGGCCAGCTTTTTCTTCCAAGACATGCAGCATGGAGCTGGGCAGCACTAGGGCTGTGGTGCGGAGCAATGGCCGCCTGCTTTGGGCTCCTGGCAGACACTGGAGCTCTTCTCACATTAGATCAGCATTTCCGGGAACTGGGGTGAAGCGTGGAGATGGAGGAAAGGCCCACACTGAACGTGCAGCATTCGGATAATGTCAGACAGCCTTTAGAATAAAATCCTAAGACAAACCAAGCAAACAGCTAAGAGCCAGGGAATGCTGACGGTGCAGCCATGCTGTTTTCACATATGTGACAAGATCCTCTGGGAATTTTTCCAGAGGCCATTCAGGGCACATACCCTCTTTGGTGTTGTGTGACTTGCGTGTGGGGATGTTATGGTTGTGCTTGTTTTGACCTCTGTGAAAAAGGAACTTTTCAGGGTAGGCGTCTCTGGAGGGCTCAGTGGGGTCGGGGACAGTCACCATCTCTGGTCCTAAAAAGTTCGCCTGTGTGAGGTTGCACTAAATCTCCTGTGGTGTTTGTCTCTGCCCCCGCCCCAGGTGCAGCTGAACGCCGGCCAGCTGCAGTACATCCGCTTAGCCCAGCCGGTATCAGGCACCCAGGTTGTGCAGGGACAGATCCAGACGCTTGCCACCAATGCTCAACAGGTATGTGCCCCAGAGATGCGGGATTCACTTGGCATCTGGCTGGAAAGGAGTGCTCAGCACATAACTCATGCACCACCTTCTCCTTCAGCAAGAGCCACCTCCACACCCTGCACATCTGTCCTGCACCCTAAGGGACAGGTGGGGTTTTTTGGAGGATTGTATTAAAAGTGTGTCTCTTACCATCTTGTTCTTGGGGGACAAAGGAATGCAAGGCAGAGAAGTCTCAAGGATGCTTAGGAAAGCCTGGTGTGTGCGCACGCATGTCTGACCAGAGGAAGCCTTTTGACAGATGGCCTTATCGTCAAGCTGAGCTTCTGTCTTTAAACCTGAATAGTGGTTGTGTTCTGGCACCTCCTGTGCCCTCTGGAAAGCTTGCTTAGACTTTGTCCCCACCTCCTTATGCATCCCTACGCAGAGATTGTCCCCTCGTTTCCTTTCATGTCCTAGTATGTTGAAAGCTGTGAGCCACGGGCAGTGAGGGGGCTGCCTCCCTGGGCTTGGGGGAACTAGAGCATCATTTGCAGGGGATAAGGGATGCCGGTCAAGGGGAGGGTTGTTAATGCATTCTTTTGCCTCAGACCCAAAAAAAGCAGCGATCGTTTAAGAGCTGGACCTGTCTGGCCCAGTTGCATTTCTGATGATGTATCTATTGACAGTGGTGACAGAGCTGAGTTTGTAGAGCAGGTCTCCAAAGAGCTCATTTGGGAAAACAGGAGGAATGAGCCAAAAGCAAGGCTTCCAAGTACCCTATAGTCTCTGGGATTGGTTTTGTGTTTTTTAGTTTTTGTGTTTTTTGGTTGTTTTTTAACCGTTATTTCCATTTAATTTTTAATTGTTTTATTTTCAATTATAGTTGACATTCAGTATTATTTTATATTAATTTCAGGTATACATTATAGTGGTAGACATTTATATAATTTAAGAAGTGATATCCTGACTAGCCTGGTACCCACTTCACACTGTACATAGTTATTCTAATATTATTGACTGTATTCCCTATGCTGTCCTTTACATCCCCTGACTGTTTTGTAACTACCAGTTTGTACTTCTGAAGGCTTTCACCTTTTTCACTCGGCTCCCCAAGCCCCCCTTCCATCTGGCCACCATCAGCTTGTTCTCTGTATCTATGAGTGTTTCTGTTTTGTCTCGGGGATCATGAAAGGCTCACTGAAGGACTTGGGCTTTACCCTAATTTCTTTGGGGCTCACCTGACATGGAATCATACCTCAAGATTGGTCACACCCATAGTTACCCCTTTCTCTTTTTTAAGAAAAGATTCTAACCTTCGATCCAAAAAGTGTTTATGCCATGGGTGCGGGAGGAAATGAGAAGGCTTCCCAGAGATCAGTTTTGGAACCACAAACTAAAGCCAGAAAGGGGGCGAGCTGGGTGTACAGAGAGGAGGGGAAGAAGCAGGAAGCGGCACCTGCAGGCAGCCAGCGTCTATGTAACGACAGAGTGTGATTGTGACAGCTCGCACCGAGGTGCTCAGTAAATGTTTGTTGAATGACTGTTGAATAAATAATATGGAAATGGAATTTAAAGGCAAATGAAATTTTCTTCTCAGCTGATGTGAAGGGAATCCTGCCGGCCTCAGGGCACAGTTAACCTCAGCGATGAGGAATATTTTCCATGTTTCTCGTGATCATTCATTATTCTGCAGACATTTCTTGAATACTTACTTTGCACTGGGCGGTATAAAGGCAAAACTTAGCTCCTGCCCTCAAGCAGCTTAGAGACTGGTTGGAGGAGAAAGATCCCCAACAAGAAACAATAGTAAGAAATCTTTACGAGGCCCTTTCACGCCTGTGCCTTCTTGCTCCTCTTAGCCGCGTGGGTGGACCTGATGGGTTGTTTTTGGCTGTTGTGAGGACACTCGAGAGGCCAGTCCTTACCTTGCAGGTTGGCTGTAATGATTCCAGGAGACGGTGCACAGAGGACGTTACTAGTCAAATGTTCCATAGATACATGTATGCGCACAAGCATGCTTGCTTTCTTTCTAGCCCACCAAGCTGTCTCTAGCAGCTGGCATTATATAATGCAGTTCTACATGTCAGTAAATTTATTTTAAAATCCACGCATAAGATTTTAAGTGCATGTGATAAGTATTTTCCTTGTTTCCCCACCCCTCCGCCTCGCCCACCCCGCCCTTGGCCCGGAGGGCTGCACGTGGCCACTATCGGAAAAAGTACTTCATAGGTTTGCCACGAGGGCTTCTAGGGCCAAGGCCACCTGCTCGCCAGGGTGTTTCATATTCCAGTCAGATAATCTGGGTGATACGGGTTTGGTTTGGAGCCCACCTTCCAAGAATGAAAGGGACCACTCACCACTTCGCCCAGTGTTTTGCGATCCGCCTTCATTAGCTGAAAGACTTGGGGTTTCTGCCTAAACGGTAAACGTTGTGCCCTCTCATGTCAGCACCTAGGAGCTAGGTGTTTTGTTTGATTTGAGCCTCAGGCCCTGGAAAGACTGGTGAGGGTGTGGGGGCCTAGGTGGCCATTAAGAGAGATGATTATAGAAGTTGTATGTTAACGTGCTCCGGGGTCCTGTGTGTGGTGCCAGCTCTAAATAGCCTTCAGTGTTAGGGGGTGGGGAGGGACCCTTGCTTTCCTGCTACTAATCAAGCACCTGTTCTGTGCCAGGCCTCATTCTGGGCACTTTATATGCATTATCTTGTTTTATCTTCATGACCTGTCCTGGGTGGTGGGCCGGTGGAGCAGCCCCTCAGCTCACCTGCCTTCTCTACCATTTTGATTCTTCCAGATCACACAGACAGAGGTCCAGCAAGGACAGCAGCAGTTCAGCCAGTTCACAGATGGGCAGGTAGGCTACCCAGCCTGGGCAGGGGCAGAGGGTAAGAAGTGGGCAGGGGGCGGGTAATGGATGACATCTGTGGGTTTGGGTGGCTAGGGCAGCTGTCCCATCTTCTGTTAACAATGAGTGGACAGAAACTGTTAAAACAAGTACAGTCTTTAAATCAGGGTGCCTGTCTTTTAGATTTATAGACTTGTGGGAGCTGAACATAATCTTGGACATTTTATAGCCCAAATCCCCATTCTACAGATGAGTAAACTGAGCCCTAGAGATGGGAAGTGCCTTGTCCATGCTCACTCAGCTGTTCGTTGCAGAGCCAGGACTAGAACGGTCTCCTGTTTCCCTCTCTCGGACTAGTTTTACTCTAAGCCCTGCTGCTTTGTAATAGCATGAATTAGTTGATATGCAGAGAATGTGTGATCTCTCAGCCTCTCTCAGGACCTGGAATTCAGTAATTCGAAACCCACATGAGGAAGGAGTCTTCCCTTTCCCTCTTCCTTCCCCTTACACCATGGTCCCAGACGCCCCTGAGGACATGACAGGACGACATACCTGGGCTTGTGCTCTGTGCTGCCCTAAAGGGACAGGAGCTGCATCACCCACCTCTGGCTTCACCCACCTCTCTGCCGGGCTCACGTGTTGGGGCTGCTGTGGCAGGAGGTCTTGGCTTTTGGTCTCTTTTGGGGGCACCTGAGAAACTCGGTGTCCAGTTGGCCCTGCTCTTCCATAGTAGCTTTGTGAGCATCTACTTCACCCCTCGCGGGTCTTGGCTGTAGGAAGCGTGTCATCCCAGGCAGCCTCCTCAGCAGGGCCCGCGTAGGACATGCAGGTTCAGAGTAGCCTTCGTATGAGCCAGAGGTTCTGAGGAAAGGAGGAGGGGTCATCCTCCTGCCCCCGCCAGTGAGGAGTACTGAGAGTTGGGGAAATGCTGACTTCCAAGCTGCTGGTACAGTGGTTCGAATTGCTTGTGTTTGTCACAGAGGAACAGCGTGCAGCAAGCTCCAGGCTCTGAGCTAACGGGAGAGGCAGAGCCCAGAGAAGTGAAAGCCACAGGAAATGCAACTCCCTGCACCTCTTCCCCGCCCACTACACACACACCCCCACACCAAGCTGGTGCCTCCTGTGTCTGCTGCTCCCACCCCCAGCAGAGCTCCACATCCCCTCCTCCCTCGGACGCCTTGCAGTGGGTGGTGGTTGAGGTGTCTGGGGCCCCCAACGAACTTGAGGCCCATAGGGAGCTGCATGCCCCTCTCCCAGGGGTGACCTCACTCTCTCCTCTCCACCCCTCGCAGCAGCTCTACCAGATCCAGCAAGTCACCATGCCTGCTGGCCAGGACCTCGCCCAGCCCATGTTCATCCAGTCAGCCAACCAGCCCTCCGACGGGCAGGCCCCCCAGGTGACCGGAGACTGAGGGCCTGAGCTGGCGAGGCCAAGGACACCCAACACAATTTTTGCCATACAGCCCCTGGCAATGGGCACAGCGTCCCTCCCCAGAGGACCCGGCCGACCTCAGCGCCTCCTGCAGGCTAGGACACTGGTGCACTTCCCCCCACGCCTGGGGGCCAAGATTCTCCAACAGAAAGATGCAACATTTTTTTATTTCCTTGTTTTCCTTTTTTTTCTCCAAGGAATCAATATTTCCGTATGTTGAGCTGTGTATCCAATCAATGCTTTGAAATGAAAATATTAAATAACATATTTATGGCATTTTCTTGAAGAGTGTGAAGAAATATTTCTTTTGTTTTCCTTTTTTTGGTTCTTACCGCCACTACTTTTTAGGAACAAATCTCACAGGTGTATATTATCTCCTAAGTCTTGGAGCAGCTGCTGCCCCCAGGATTGGACGCCTTTTCTGCCCTCAGATTAAATTAGGTGAATGCGTGTAGCTGCTGCTCATTAGCGGTCCTCTCCCCTTGTCCCCGCTCTTGCCCAGAGCTCTGTGTATTTGCATCCAGAGGCCATGGAAACATTCCTTGCATTTAAGAGACGAACTCATACGCTGTGGAGAGTGGATGGTTTCATTCCCAAACCCTACTCTCCCAGGGACCCAAGGAGACTAGAACTTTGTGCGTTTACCCTAACTCCCCATTTTTTATTTTATTTTTTAAATGCATAAAAAATTGTGCTAGTCTCCTTTGCTGCATGGACTTCAAACTGCATGATATGCAATAAAACCTCATTTTAGATAACTCAGAGTCTATGTTTCTGTGTCTGGGGGCATTCATGGGGCCACTTTGCTTGGGAAAGGCTTGGAAAGGTTGGTTTGCCCTCGGGTTGAGTGTCTGAGAAGGAGGGAGACCCTTGTGAAAAAAAGCTAAGGGAACTTACGTTACATATCTGATTCAAACTGAGGTCTTCAGCTGATTTTAAAAATGAGCTTCAGAATCTATTTGCTGCTCGAGAGGTGCCTGCCTGCCTTGCTTTCTGGACTCCCATACATGGGCCAGGTTCAGCTGTGTCCTGATTGGTTGAGGGTCAAGAGTGCATCTGTCATGGAGAAAGCTGTCTCTATCCTTCAAACGAGGACCCAGATAAATCCCCCCAGTCCTGCCTTGGCACAGGCTGGCACTCTGAGTTGCCTGCTGTGGCCATGCCTAGTGGCCTCTGCCATGGAAGGCAGCCTAAGCCCTTTGTCAGCCAGCAGATCAGAAGGGGTCTACAGCCAGGTCCTGTATCCTATTGATGCAGGAAGAGTGAAAGAGCATTCCACTTCATGGGCTACACGGGCCGGTGGGGAGCCCTCTTCCTTACCTTCACCATGCCATCCATCCTCGCAACTAGAATGAGGCCTGTGGTCATGGAAAGATCAGAGAAAAGTAGGAATTTCTTCTCTGACGGTAATATGCCATAAAACTTTGGGCAACTCCCTTTTCTTTAGTACTGTCTCAAGGTATGGGGCGAGGATGGGGAAGAGGCTTTAATATTAGATGATTTCAAGTCTGACCTTGATGCCCTTAACCAAATAGCCCCTGCTGTCAACCATGGTGCGTACTCGGACATCTGTGTCATCTATTTCATTTTCAGTCATTTACCTGAGTGTACTCCACCTTATTCCACAAGAAAAATTAGGATGATTTGCGTTGAAAACATACACAATGAAATAAAATATGATAAATTAGAACTGGGAAGAATATAATCGAGTAGGAAATCAGGCTCATAGAAAATTAGTGTTCTGGCTGTAAAGACCTATATAGTTGTTAGAATTAGGTTTCACATTTCATCCTGGGCTTCCTGGCCACCAAACAAAAACGGCTGGGACCAGGTTAAGAGATTCACACTATAAAAGGAAGAAAAATAACATTCTTTGGCAAAAGCAAAGATTTTACTAGATTTAAGGTTTGGGATACATGGTACCCCTCCAGTGTCGTCAGGGTAGGTGAAACATACGATCACCATGAGAAGTCGGTAGGTCTGCCCCGATGAGTCTGGAGCAGCCCCACAGGCATCTGACTCCCAAGTTCAGTGCCACCCCTCCTCCTCCTCTGTCCAGTTTTCTTCATTCTAGCTCTGGACTTTTCTCTGAAGGGGGTTATCTGTCCTGTACCCAGACACGTTCAGTGAGACATGCAAGCAGTCACTGATAGCTGTGTGCCCAGCCCCATGTGGAGAGAATGCAAGAAAGAAAGTGAACTCAAGTGCACAGAAGGGTCACTGGCCTCAGAGAAAAGGCAGAAACAGGCTCAGCTATTTCATTTCCTGGCTAAACCCCCATGTTGAGGCTACTGCACTTGTCCCACCTTGCTGCTCTTTGACTCCTGAACATCCAAGCCTAACTGGAAACGCAGGCCAGTCAATGGGTCCCCATTTTCCCCATAGACTTCCATTCTAATTTGGGGATGTTTCGATCAGTTGTGATTGGCAAGCAGCTTCCTTGCTGAGCACGTTCCCTTTAAATTTCCCCGCCAGCAGGGCCCATCTGGGTGTAAACAAACACTTCGGTGCAGCCCAAGAGAGCCCCTATCTAATACCCAGCACGATCCCCTTACATCCGGAGCACTCTTTAAACATTTTTCCTAGCACTTGCGGCATTCGTCCTGACGATGATCTTCACGGTGACCCTGCAGGAGAGACAGGAAGAGGGATTGTGATCCCTGTGTTGCAGATGGAGACTTAGGAGGCCCAGCGAAATGCAGTGACTTTCCCAAGGTCACTCCATGAATAGGGGTGGACAAACCAAAACACTGGTCTCTTGACCCCCTATGCACACACAGTTGCTTTCTGGCCAAAGGTGTGTGTGTGTGTGTGTGTGTGTGTGTGTGTGTGTGTGTGTGTGTGTGTGTGTGTGTGTGTGTGTGTGTGTGTGTGTGTGTGTGTGTGTAAGAACAAGGCTTTACTAAAGGTAGACTCTCTACCTTCTCAAACTCATTGGCTCAGCCTTGAGTATATTTGGAATAAATAAAGCAATTGGATCTAGTCTGTGGACAGCTGGTGGTTGGGCTAATTCCCAGAGGCTGATGCAGGATTCTAGAGGCCCCTGGGATTACCAACAGACCACCTGGCTGGCCTCCTTGCTGCTCAATTCTGCTGAGGCCACAAGGGGGCAGCATGTAGCACGCACCCAAGTTTCTGGGAGATGCTCTGTCCCACCCTCATCCGACCTGAGAAAATTCTAGGAACTATAGGGGTATGACTGCCCCCTTTTTCAATGGGCGCTAGATCCTTGGCCCCTTCCTGTTAAGACCCTTAACTTTTGAAGGGAGGGGCCTCCCTAGGGCAACAGTGAGGGCTGACCTAATACCCTCTCTAGAGTATTAGATCAGGGTAGGTAGTTAGATTTTAACAAGGACTTTCTGATAGCCCAAGTTCATTCAAGGTCTTCTCTTCCCCCAGCTTTGTGTCTTTCCACTCTCCTCTCCTGTACTCTATGCTCCTGCCACACTCCATTACTCACTGGTCCCTAAACTTACTCCCATGTTTTCAGAATGTACTGGCCCCAATGCCTGGAATGTCCTTTTATTTCCTTTTTCACTTATTGATCTCCTATACATCCATCAAGGCCCAATTTAATGGCCCTTGCTGAAAAACCTCTAATTTCTGGAGCAGACTTAGCGAAGACCTCTTTGATGCTCCCATAGCAACTTAGCCTCTATTATTAGTGCTCAAATACACAGTCATTCAGCAAATATTTGGCACTTTCTGTGTGTCAGACATTGTTTTAGACATTGTGAAGACAGCTGAAAACAAGCCAGGCAAGGTTCATGCTATCATGAAGCTTATATTGGGTTGGCGGAAGAGGTGGGAGAGGGAATGGGAGAGAGAGACGATAAACACAAGACAAGTTAGACCCTGGAAAGACCCCCTGTCACTCTGTGAGAACTTTCTGGTTGGCCGTCTTCCTTACAGATGGTCCATCTCTGCACCGCCTGAGCCCTGCGCAGGGCCTGGCACCAAGAGAATATCAGTAACTGATGAGTAAGTGAACGAATTGAACCCTTCCCTGCAGACAGGCCCTCCAACACTGCACACATCCCCCCACTTCTGCTCTCACTGTTGCTTTTTTCTTGTTCACGGTTTTTTATGGAGCACTGATAATATGCTAGGGAGGGGTATTGGATGGAGATTATTCTTTTAAGAAATTTCTGTGTAGGGAAATACATCTAAAGCTTAGTGCCTAAATGGATTATCTCATTTCATCTTCACATCCTCATTAAGTAGGTATTCTCCCCATTTTATACATGAAAAACTGAGGGTCAAAGAGGTTAAGAAATTACGCAAGGGCACCAGCTGATTGAGTACAACCAATGCTTCAAGGAGCCTTCTGTCCCCACTGGCTCAGCCCCATTGGTCTCATTCCCTCTGTTTACGATATTTTTGTTTTTCCTACAGAAAATGAGAGCCCTCATCCCCAACTCCTGGGTCGGGACCTAGCCTTTGTCCCACCTCTCTAGCCATCCAAAGGCCTCTGTAAGGTGGCATCTGACCTCTCAGGAGGAGAGGACTCGAGGGCGGAGGTCAAGTGCTTGGTCACATGAGCAACTTGGGTGTGGCCTCCTCAAGGCCCCCTGAGCTGGGCTGGCAGCATCACCCTCTAGCTTGTGTGCTGAGCCACTACCGCAGCCCAGGAAGAGGGGATAGGAGGACAGCAAGGCTGGCACTCAGGAGGGGAGAACCTGAGCTGGGCTCCAGCTGAGCCAGGCTGGGCTGGGCTCCTCCGGCTAGCTGGTGCTGAGGAGAGGTCCGAAACAGAACCCAGCTCTCCCTGCAGCCCTGGCCCTCCACTGAGCCCCATCAGCTCTCCAGCTCCCAGTCCCTCCCCCAAGCCTCTGTGCCTCTCTCTTTCGGTGAAGCTATGTGTGTGACAGAAGCTTTCTAAGATCTTGTACGTGTCAAAATGTCTTTATTTTGTTTTTTATTTAAATAATGGCTTGGCAATGTATGGAATTCTAGAGTCACAATTATTTGCCCTCAGCACTCTGAAGATGCTATTCTGTTGTCTTTTGGCATCTGTTGTTGCTGATGAGAAGCGTACTGTCAATTCAATTATTGGACCTTTGTAGATAGGCTATCTTTTTCTCTCTGGTGGCTTTTAGAATTTCCATTTTATCTTTGCTATTCTACACTTTGGCTACAAGGTGTCTTGATGTAGTTTTGTTTTGTTTTTAAAGATGTCTTACTAGGCGTCTTTGGGCCTTTTAAATCTAGAAATCCACGTATTATTTCTGGAAAGAACTTAGACACTCTTTCCAGTATCTTTTCCTGGAACTAATAATATTTATGCTGGAGTTCCTCATTCAATCTTCTACATCTCTTTTTTTTCATATGTTTAATCTCATTGTTCTGCTTTTCATTCATTCTGGAGGACTTCCTCAGGTTTAACTTCTAATTCACTAATTCTCTCTTTCGCTGTATTTACTAACCCACCTGATTTTACATTAGACACTAATGTCAGTGATTTTTGTTTTTATTTCTAAAATTTCTAGATAATTCTTTCCATATCTGCTACATGTTTTTCTTTGCTACCTTTCTGTTCTGGTTTTATAGATACCATTCCTTCATCTTCTTGAAGGTTTTAACTGTATTAAACTTCCTTTCAGGTTTCTCTATTATCTCTAGGTCTTTAAGTCTGAATTCTCCCATGAGAGAGTTGTCTCCCAAGATATTGTACTTCTTGTTATATGTTGTGCAGTTTATTCTTGAGATAGTTATTTTTAGCATATTTTCCTGACGGTGCCCTGGGATATGGAGGCTA